TGCAGGACGGTAGACTTGTCATTATCTTGTAATGGCGGTAGTTCCGCAGTATATACATACATCCCAATCTACCAAACTACATGCTTCAAAAATATACACTTTGTTTCGTATCCATTATACCTCAATAAATCTATTTCTTAAAAACCTTCAATAGAATATAAACACTTGAATGTATACTGTATTCCCTGTAGCACTTACACATAGATCATGAAAATATGTTGCATAAGAAGTCAGTATCCAGTTAAAATGGAATTCTAAAAGGTAATTAACATTTAAATATGCAGGGGGAAAAAGGAGTAAAATTATACTAGACAATCATAGTTTTTTGGGTTTTTTTTCCGGAGAGGGAGTCTCGCTCTGTCGCCCAGGCTGGAGTGCAGCGGCGCAATCTTGGCTCATTGCAAGCTCCGCCTCCCAGATTCACGCCATTCTCCCTGGCCCTCAAGCACTCCCCGAAGTAGCTGGGACTAAAGGACGGCCTGCCACCCATGCCCGGCGCTAAAATTTTTTCGGTACAATTTTTTTGTAAGACGGGGGGTTTCACCGTGTTAGGCCAGGGATGGTCCGGATCCCTGACCTCCATGATCCACGCCACCCTTGGGCGCTCCCAAAAGTGCTGAGGGATTTAAAAAAACATGTGCACGTCAGCACGTGTCCGCAGCCCTAGAACACCATAGTCTTTGAAATGGATAAACTTATAGCGGTCTAATTTTCGACTATCAAACTTATTGCACCTAACTGTAAAAGTCACTGGCACTAACAGTGCAACAAGGTACGAAAAGGAGTTGAAGGGCTGCGAAAAAAAACAAACTCCGCATAATCTTGTCTATACGAGCTGGGAAGCTTAAAAGGAAGACACAGATGGCCTGTCTGTTGGAAAGTAAACTAGGATTTTCGGAAACAGATACGACTATGCAGTAGTGTAAGGCCAAGAAAACTGCCATGGCTATTCAGTCAGAAGGAAAGGTGATGTTGTTAGCAGTGGACGACCCACTTTCTGAGTTACCTACGTTGAAGGCGTGGCCAAATCCTTACGGGTTCCACAGCATTTCAGCTCTTCACCTCTCCTGAGAAGAAAGAATAGGATCAGGACTGAGGGGCATGAAGGCAGAAGGAGAGATGGAGGCAAGTCTTCAGAGGCAGAAGTGAAAGTTCATTAAAAGGTTTAAACCAGCGAAGGAAAGGAAAGAATGGAAAGAGAGGAAAGTACACTTGGAAGTTGGCCAACGCAGGTGACTTGAGAAACAGTGTGGCAGTGGCCCGCCTGCTGAGTTGGGGTTTTATGGGTTGGCCATACTTCGCAGGATCTTGCCGCTTCTCGCACCACTCCCTGAAATCTTTATTTTTTTGGGAAACCTACTGATTCAGTTTCAGGTGTTTTCCTAATGTATTTGCAGGAGAACTGCTTTTTTCCGGCATGGCTACTAACCAGTCTTTACGTTTTAATTTTTATTTTTTTTTTTGAAGAAACGAGTCTCGCCTCCTGGCTGTCACCCAAAAGGCTGGAGTGCAGTGGCGCGATCCTCCGCTCACTGCAAGCTCCGCCTCCCTGATTCTATCGCCAGTTCTCCCCTGCCTGAGCCTGTCCGATAAGTAAGCTGGGAACTCACAGGTGGCCCCCCACCAACGCCTGCTAATTTTTTGTATTTTAGTAGCAGATGAACATTTTCACTATGTTACACTGGGATTTGCGACCTCGTGATCCCTCCGCCGCGGCCTCCCAAAGTGCTGGGATTACAGGTGTGAGCCACCACGCCCGGCTGTAACCAATGATTACTTTAGAGATACAGTTATCAACCACCTGATGGTCGCCCAACCCTACTGGTATCAGAAGCTGGAGAGCCCTCCTGCCCTGCTCATACCTGACTAGCTACCTACTGTAACAATTTTAGGACATAGAATATTACGGGAGCTCAAAAGGGACCTTTTGTAGTTAAAAAGGTTAATTCAAGGAGTGTAATAATAATCACAAATTGTATATGCCTAGTAATACAGCTTCAAAACACATAACACAAAAATAGAATGAAAAGGAGATTAAATCAGCTGTTTCTCTGCACTTGGTAGCACGATCAGATAAAAACGCCAGTAAAGAGGCAAGCGACCTGCACACTGTGAACCACCTTGATTTAACTGACATTTAAAGAGCAGGAGTGGAACATGCACTGAACACTCATTCCTTTCTATGCTCATGATACTTTCACCAAGATAGATGGGTTCTGGGCTATAAAACACACGATACGATCTCTACACTTAATGAAACGAAACTGGAAATCAGTAACAGTCCGTAGAGAATTCTAAAATTTGGTTATTGAAAATATACTTCTAAAAAATCTGTGGTTCATAGAAGAAATCAAAAGGGAAGGTAAAATGTTACGAAATAAATAATAATAACAATATAACTTCAAAACTGGTGGGAAATGGCTAACAGTGCTTGGGGTGAAATAATACAGCTTTCAATGTTTCTACTAAAGAATTGGGAGTTGGGGAGATGGGGAGTTACTATCGAAGGGTATGCAGTTCCTTTGTGGAGTGATAAAAATATTCTAAGATTGATTATAGCGATGATTGCATAGCTATGAGTATATTAAAAACTACTGAAATGTAGACGTTAAATGGGTGAATTATATGAATCATCATAATTACTAATTATGTGAATTGTGTCTCATTAAAGCTGTCAAAAATGTGAAATGTATGGCCTGCAGATCTACATTAATCAATCATAAAATATAAGCATAAATTTAAACCAAACAAAGTAACAAGGAGGAACATAAATCAAGGAAATAGAATACAGACCACAAAAAGAACTGACAAAACGGACCGTGTGTGGTGGCTTGCGCCTGTAATCCCAGTACTTTGGGAGGCCCAGGCAGGCAGAACGCTTGAGCTCAGGAGTTGGACCAGCCTGGGCAACGTGGTGAAACCCCAGCTGTACAAAATACACAAATATTCGCCAGACGTTGGGGCACACTCCTGTCTGTGGTCCCTGTCACCTGGGGACTGCAGTCGAAGGACCACTTGAGCGCGGGAGGCAGAGGTTGTAGTGAGCAGAGACTGCACTCCAACCTGGATGACAGAGAGAGACCCTGTCTCCAAAAAAAAAAGAATTGACAAAATAAAAAGTTAGTCTTCAGAAGGAGTAAGAGTGTAAGAGCAGAGAAAGGAGACAGAGACATCGTCTGAACCTAGAGGGACGGCAGCCCGAGAAGGAAGGATTTGAGAAACATGCCTTAGCTTCGCTGTCACCAACTACTAGACAGGCTTTGATGTGGAAGAAAGCTACATTTTGTCTTGTTTAGATCCAGGCAGTTGAACAGAGCTCAGCATAAGTAGCTTTTATTGTAACCACTTTGTTTTTACTCAGGAGTAAGATTATATTAAATTTAATTAAATGTAAGTCTACAATTAAATTAATTTTGCACTTTAAAACACTCCCAACTTAAAATTTACAAAAACTATACACAAAAATTTGAAAAATAGCTGTTGGCATGATGAAAGCTATTATTGAATTATTTAGTGTATACTTTCTAAAAGCAAGGAAATTAACATCAACACGTTACCACTATCTAATAAGCAGACTCTGTTCTGATTCTCCAGTTGTCTTCTCGTTGTCATTTATAACACACAGATCATGGCCAGAATCCCTGAATTGCTGTTTCATCTTTTTCTGTAATTCTTTGATATTTACTGGGAACAGCTTGTCAAAGTCCCTTGTAAAGTAGAAATTACTTAATGTTTGATGCTATATCCTGACTTTCTTTAAGGTTATATTATAACCCTCATTTATAAAACTGTGTATCTTTATATGTGTGTGTGTGTGTGTGTGTGGCAGAGAGAGAGAGAGACAGAATTCACCCACTAGGTCAATTAAACACTTGGTCAAACTAAATATGTTAGATGCTATTTCGGCTTGAAGGGGTTATATGTGTTTTTTGTATTCTGTTTGTTTTTGAGACGGAGTCTCACTCTGTTGCCCAGGCTAGAGTGCAGTGGCGTGATCTGGGGTCAGAGCAACCTCTGCCTCCCAGATTCTGGAGGATGCTGAGGCATCCCAAGTAGCTGGGACTACAGGCACCCGCCACCACATCCGGCTAATTTTTTGTTTTTTTTTTTTTTTTTTTTGAGACGGAGTCTTGCTGTGCCCCAGGCTGGAGTGCAGTGGCGCGATCTCGGCTCACTGCAAGCTCCGCCCGGCCGGTTTCACGCCATTCTCCTGCCTCAGCCTCCCAAGTAGCTGGGACTACAGGCGCCCGCCACCTCACCTGGCTAATTTTCTTGTATTTTTAGTAGAGACGGGGTTTCACCGGGTTAGCCAGGATGGTCTCGATCTCCTGACCTCGTGATCCGCCCATCTCGGCCTCCCAAAGTGCTGGGATTACAGGCTTGAGCCACCGCGCCCGGCCATTTTTTGTATTTTTAATAGAGATGGGGTTTCACTGTGTTAGCTAGGATGGTCTCGATCTCCTGACCTTGCGATCGCCCCCCACAGCCTCCCAAAGTGCTGTGATTACAGGCGTGAACCACCGCACCTGGCCTTTTATATTCTTATAAAATATTTTCTTGCCAACCACCATGGTGTGTTCCTGTTATCCACATTACTTGGGAGACTGAGGCAGGAGGATCACTTGAGGCCAGAAGTTCCAGGCTGTAGTGGACTATGATCACACCTGTGACTAGCCACTGCATTCTAGCCTGGGCAACATAGCAAGACTCTTATCAAAAAAATAAAAAATAAAAATAACTCTTCTGCTCACATTTTCTGGGGTAAAGATATTTTATGTTATAATATGAGAAAAGGACACAGATGTGTTTTTCTTTATAGAAAATAGCTGCCCTAACAGGCCAAGGAACAAACACGGATGCAAAAGAATGAAAGTTTGGAGCTGGAAAGAAGTCCAAGCTCTGATGAGTTTTGTCACTTGGGGTGAAGGGAATATGAGATGGAGCCTGGGAGAGGTAAGGTCTGGAAACCACTCACGCCCATCTCTGCCTTGTCCCCACAGGTCCAAGTTGACTCTGCCACCGTCTCCCGGAAGGATGAAGTTCCCCCGCCGCCAGTGGCCTCAAAGCAACAGAGGCGCAGCCTCGAGGAGGAGTGTCCAGCGGGTGCGCTCTTATTTTTAAAAATCAGTTTATTTTTAATTGACATATAAACATTGTATATATTTATGAGGTACACCATGAGGTTTGGAAATATGCACACATTGCGGAATGGCTAAATCAAGCTAATTCACATACTTATCGTGTATTTGTGGTAAGAACACTTAAAAATCTACTCAGCAATTTTCAGCTGTACCGATACAGAGCCCTGGGATAAGCCCTCTTCGCCCTCCTCATCTGTGGGTTCTGTAGCCATCCTCATCTGTGGGTTTCGCATTCGTGGCTGCAACCAACACAGATCAAAAATATGTGGAAAAAATAATGGAAATGATAACACGACAATAAAAGTAGATAAAAAGCAATGCAGTATAGCACTTATTTACATAGCATGTCTATTGCATTGGGTATTACAAGTAATCTTGAAATGATTTAAAGCATATGTGCCTGGGGTATATGCAATACTATCCCAATTTATATCAGGAACTTGAGTAAGTGCAGACTTTGTTCCATGGAATATATTCCCTGTGAATAGAAGGCAGGACTGTACAACACATCGTTTTAGTAACTGTAGTCAACATGTCACACAATACATCTCTTGAATTTATTTCCCCCTATCTCACTGAAATTTTGTGTCCTTTGACCAACAGATCTCCAACCCACCATCCAAATGCAACCCTGGTAATCACCATTCTACTCTCTACCTCTATGAGATTAACTTTTAAGATTCCACATATGTGAGATCATAGGGTGTTTGTCTTTCTGTGCCTGGCTTATTTCACTTATCATAGTATCTCCAGGTTCATCTATGCTGTCAGAAATCACAGAATTTCCTTCTTTGTTAAAGTTGAATAGTATTCCGTTGTGTCTGTGTACTACATTTTCTGTACCTTTTCGTCATTGATGGACACTTAGGTTGATTAAATGTCTTGACCATTGTAAATAATGCTCCAGTGCACATGGGAGGGAAGATATCTCTTCAACATACTGATGTCATTTCCTTTGGATGTATACCCAATAGTGGCATTACTAGATCATATAGTTGTTCTATTTTTTTGTTTTTTGAGGAACTTCCATACTATTTTCCACAATGGATGTACTAATTTCCATTCCCACCAACAGTGTACCAGCATTCCTTTTTCTCCCCATCGTCATCAACACTTGTTATCTTTTGTCTTTTGGATAATAGCCATTTTTACAGGTGTAAAGTGATATTTCATTGTGGTTTTGATTTGCATTTCCCTGATTAGTGATGTTGAGCATTTTTTTCATATACCTGTTGGCCACATCTGTGTCTTCTTTTGAGAAGTGTCTATTCAGGTCCCTTGCCCACGCATCCATTTTAACTGGATGATTTGATTGCATGCTATTGAGATGCTTGAGTTCTGTGTATTTTGGATATTAACCAAAATCTTGGATCTTTTGGATATCCATCTCTCATCCTGTAGGTTGTCTCTTCACTCTGTTCATTGTTTCCTTTGTTGTGCAAAACCTTTCTAGTCTGATATAATCTCATCTGTCTATTTTTGCTTTTGTTGCCTGTGTGTTTGGGGTCATAGCCAAGAAATCATTGCCCACACCAACGTTGTGAAGATTTTCCCCTATGTTTTCTTGTAGTAGTTTTACAATTTCAGGGCTTAGGTTTAATCTTTAGTCCATGTTGAGTTGATTTTTACATATGATGTGAGATAAGGATCTTATTTCATTCTTCTGCATGTCAATATCTACTTTCCTCAACACCATTTATTGAAGAGGCTGTCCTTTCCCCATTTTGTGTTCTTGGTATCTTTGTCACAATCAGTTGACTGTAAATACATTGATTTATGTCTGGGTTCACTATTTCATTCCATCAGTTTTATCTTCGTTTATGCCATTACTATTCAGTTTTGATTACTATACCTTTGTAATATATTTTAAAATCAGTATGATGCCTCCATCTTTGTTCTTTTTGTTTGTTTTGCTTAAGATCACTTTGGTTATTTGAGGTCTTTTGTGGTCCCGTACACATTTTAGAATTGTTTTCTCTATTTTGGTAAAAAAGTCATTGGAATTTTAATAGGCATTGCATTAAATCTGTAGGTCACTTTGGGTCATATGGACAATTAAGCAATATTGAGTTTTCTAATCCATGAATGTGTACTGTCTTTCCGTTTATTTTTGTTACTTTCCATGTCTTTCATCAATATTTTACAGTTTTCAGATCTTTCACCTCTGTCATAAATTTATTTAAAAGAGTTGCTGCCTTGACATCCATTTTTAGGCCCCATATAAGTTGTTTAAAACCCAATCATACCACAGCATCTTTTGCCCAATTAATAATTCCTTTCCCTCTTCAATTGTTTTTGATCTAGCACATTTGTTCTTCATCTCCCTGACCCCAAATCCAACACATCCCACAGCAGCTGACTACAATAAAACCCAATGGTTCACACCAGAGCAGTGTGAACCTTCTTTGCAGGTGTTGTCTTCCACAATCCCTGTGGGAAAGCCTAGGGTATAATGCCCATGGATCTTTATAAAGGTGTAGTCCCATGGGTCCTCTTTCTCTGTCTCTTGCTCCCCACACACCGGTTGTGTCCTTGGACTGGATGGCTCCCCACTTCCCATAAGTGCTACAAAGTGTGCTGTCCTCTTCTCTCTGGAGTCTATAAGTAATACAGTACTTCTGTGTTTCCTGTGTTTTGTTGTGTTGCTTCCTCTGTGTTTTCCCTAACTGACACATCTGAACCTAACATCTTTCTCCATCTTGGCTCTCTTAAAGAGTCGCTATCTCCTAAAGAGTAGAGATAACTTAAAACTGGACTTAGGTCAGACAAGAACCACAAGGTCTTCTGCTAGTAAAAGTAATTGTCTTGTGGAAGGGACACCCACAAGATGAACACCTAAATAGGCATTAGACGGTCCACCAGGATAAATAAGTTTTCTGTGAACATCCGTGATGAAATCTCCTGGATCCCCCCTCCAAGGTAAGGCTAGAATTTATAGCCACTCTACAGAGAGAAACCTCAAGACCAAATTAGAAAAAAATACAGCTACCACCTTGGTTGAATTTATATAACTAAGCATTTTTTGTGGCTATTATAAATGGGATTTTTCAGATAGTTTCTTGTTAGTGTATAAAAACACTATTGAATTTGTAAGTTGAGTTCATGTCTAACTTTATTTTATACTGATAACAATTTATCTTTGGTCTCATAAAAAAACTTGACACTTTTTCTTTCCCTGTCTTATGTTTTTGATGTCATTATTTACATCTTTTTATGTTGTATATTCCTTAACAAATTGTATTAACTATCATTTTAAAAAATACTTTTGTCTTTTAACTTTTGTACTAATGATACAAGTAATTTGTACACTATTATGATTGTATTAGAATATTCTGAATTTCATATTTTCTAGTTTCATATTTTCACATAGTTTGGTGTATCCAGTTAGTGTTCTGTTCTTTCAGATTGAATAGCTCTCTTCAGCATTTCTTGTAAGGCAAGAATTTATGTATTTCGTGTAAGGCAAGAAATGCTAAAGATGAACTCCAATGGTTTTTTTGTTTGTTTGTTTGTTTGTTTGTTTTTTTGTCTGATAAAGCCTTTACTGCTCTTCATTTCTAAAGGACAGGCTTGCCAGGTACAGTATTCTTGGTTGGCAAGGGTTTTTTCCTTTCTATACTTTGTATAATTCTACTCTCTCCTGGCCTGTGGGTTTTCTGCTGAGAAGCCTTCAATAGTTGTATAAGGTTTCCTTTGTGTACATTGCTTTTCTCTTGCTGGTTTCAAAATTCTGTTTGCCTTTGATTTTTGGAATTTGTTTAAGATATGTCTTGGTGAAGATCTCTTCATGTTTAATCTGTTTGGGGTTTTTTGGGCTTCATGAATGTGGATATCCATTTCCATCCTGATTTGGGACATTTCCTTTAATTATTTCTTTAATTACACGTTCTGTTCCTTTCACTTTCTCTGATGCTCCTTGGACTACCATAATGCATGTATTGTTTTTATTCACGGTAACCGTTGGTACTGTTGGCTTTCTTCCCTCTTTTTCATTCTTTTATTTTTTTTTTCTTTCTGTGACTTGGTAATTTCAAACAATCTGTTTTCAAGCTCACTGAGTCTTTCTTCCAATTAGTCAACTCTGCTGTTGACATTCTCTGGAATTTTTTAGTTCAGATATTGTGTTGTTTAATTTTAGAATTTCTGCTTGGTTCTTTATGTTGTCTGTATATATTAAACCACTCATTTTGTTCATGTATTGTTTTTCTGACATGACTTAGTTGTCTATCTGTATTCTCTAGTAGCTGACTGAGCTTCTTTAAGATGAGTATTTTCAATTCTTTGTCAGGCTGTTGTAAATGTCTGTTTGTTTCGGGTTGGTTACTTGTGCTTCATTTTGTTTCCTTGGTGCTGTCATGATTCCCTGATTGCTCATGAGCCTGAGGCAATGTGTGGGAATGTGCTCTTTGAAGAAGCAGGGACTTATTCCAGTATTTACAGACTGGCTTTGTCAGGGAACGCCCTTCACCAATCAGCCTGTACACAGATTCTGGGCAGGCCATGTGGTGTCGTTCAAGGGTGGTCAGAGCCTGTATCCAGAGAGGTGACCTGAGGCCTGGTTCCATGGGGGCTGAACTGGCACTGGAGTAGGCCTTGTACTTGGGTCTGCAGATGTCAGCCAGGTGCTGTGATGGGCCTCATCCTTGGGTCCACAGGGAAGGACCTGGAGTCTGAGTTCATGGGGACTGACCAGGACTAGGGCAGACCTGGAAGCTGAATCTGTGGAGTTGGGTCAGGATTCTGGGTCTGTAGTGCTAGCCCGAAGGCGCAAGCTAAGACTGATATCTTAGCTTATCCTGCCCTTATCTCTCTGTGCTTCTAGACTTCTGTTTCCTACACTTCATGGTTCTTTATTCCATAGGGATACGTTGGATGATTTCTGTCAGTCAGGCACCATGCTAATGGGGATAATTATAAGAGGCCCTGCCCTCATGGAACCTTTTCTCTGGGATAGTATTAAGATACACAGATCAAAATAGCAGTCAGAAATTCCTGATAGGAACCATGAAGAATAATCAGGTGATGAGTGAGACGGAGACGAGGTTGGTGGGGCCTCTCGAGGATGGTGATTTTGGCCAGTATCCAAAGTTGGACAGGGATAGTTGTGCAGAGAGCCAGAAATAGTGCTCCTGAGCAGCCTCCCTGGGAATGAGAGCCGCAGGGTGCAGGGGCTGGGGGATACTGAGCAAAGACAGGGCCACCATAGTGAGTGGACAGCAAACAGGTCAGGTGGACCAGCATGGGCAGATCACATGTAGACGAGGTTGGATTTTATTTTGTTATTTTATTTTATTGTTTTTTTTTAAAAAAAAAAGTAGACTGGGCGTGACGTGGTGGCTCATGCCTGTAATCTCAGCACTTTGGGAGGCCGAGGAGGGTGGATCGCCTGAGGTCAGGAGTTTGAGACTAGCCTGGCCAATATGGTGAAACACCATGTCTACTAAGAATACAACAAATTAGCCGGGTGTGGTGGTAGGTGCCTGTAATCCCATCTACTCGGGAGGCTGAGGCAGAAAAATCGCTTGAACCTGGGAGGTGGAGGTTGCAGTCAGCCGAGATCGTGCCCCTGCACTCCAACCTGGGCAACAAGAGTGAAACTCTGTCTCCAAAAATAAATAAATAAATAAAATATTCCTTTTTTTTTTTTTTTTCAAGAGATGGAGTCTCTCTGTGTCGCCCAGGCTGGAGTGCAGGGCACGATCTCGGCTCACTGCAAGCTCTGCCTGCCGGGTTCACGCCATTCTCCTGCCTCAGCCTACCGAATAGCTGAGACTACAGGCGCCACCTGGCCAATTTTTTGTATTTTTAGTAGAGACGGGGTTTCACCGTGTTAGCCAGGATGGTCTCGATCTTCTGACCTCGTGATCTGCCCCCCTCGGCCTCCCAACATGCTGGGATTACAGGCGTGAGCCACCGCGCCCTGCCAAAAAAAGATAAAATATTTCAAATATTTATATTGATTACATATTGAAATGTAGTGTTTTGGATATTTTAGGTTCAAAAGTAGATTGTTTAAATTAACTTGACCTTTCTTTTTACTATTTTAATACGGCTGTCATAGAATTTGAATTCTGCGTGTGGTTTGTATTATATTTCTGTCAGCAGTGCCAGTCAAAGGTATGTAATAGATGCAGAACTGATGACAAGACCAAACCTGGAAGAGTGGATTTCTCCGTCTGGATTCCACTGAGGGCCAAAAGAGAAGTTTTCCAGCCACTGCCAGCCTCTGGGAATTCTGTGGTGACTCATTCATTGGCTTTTCTCTCCTTTCCCAGGATTTCATAGATCAGAACATACTGGAGCCTGTAACCCGTGCACAGAGGGTGTGGATTACACCATTGCTTCCAACAATTTGCCTTCTTGCCTTCTATGTACAGTTTGTAAATCAGGTACAGAATGTGTGAACCCCTTGCCCAGAGGTGGAGTGCGTAGTGATGAGGTGGGTGGGAGCTGTAGCTGATGTGAGTCGGGGAACCAAGTTCTAGCCCAACTTGGTCTTCATCATGCCCCGTTCCATGATTATGACTGGTTGATTGGAAAAAAAAAAAAAGAAATCTTTTTTTTTTTTTTAGACAGAGTTTCGCTCTTGTTGCCGAGGCTTGAGGACAATGGCATGATCTTGGCTCACTGCAACCTCCGCCTCCCAGGTTCAAGCGATTCTCCTACCTCAGCTTCCTGAGTAGCTGGGATTATAGGCATGCGCCACCACGCCTGGCTGATTTTGTTTGTTTGTTTGTTTTGAGACTGTGTCTCGCTCTGTTGCCCAGGCTGGAGTGCAGTGGCGCCATCAGGGCTCACTGCAAGCTCCGCCTCCTGAGTTCACGCCATTCTCCTGCCTCAAGCTCCTGAGTAGCTGGGACTACAGGCGTCCGCCACCACATCCGGCTAATTTTTTTTGTATTTTTAGTAGAGACAAGGTTTCACTGTGTTAGCCAGGATGGTCTTGATCTCCTGACCTCGTGATCCGTCCGCGTCAGCCTCCCAAAGTGCTGGGATTACAGATGTAAGCCACCATGCCAGACCAGTTTTTTGTATTTTTAGTGGAGACAGGGTTTCTCCATGTTGACCAGGCTGGTCTCGAACTCCTGACCTCAGGTGATCCACCCACCTCAGCCTCCCAGAGTGCTGTGATTACAGGCGTGAGCCACTGTGCCCAACCAAAATCTTTTCTATGATGCATGGCAACTGGCTGGGAACTCCTCTGAACTATTGCCTGCAAGGGGGTGGGGGCATCATTACAGCACAGAGGAGGCCTGGCCCAGTGGACAGGGCTGGGTTCCAGTGGTGGCACGGGTCTGCTCCGGGAGCAGGCTGTTTCCTCCCGGGCTCTGTGCTCCTGGCAGGTGCTCAGGTTCACTCAGCCTTCAGGTTCTCAGGCCCCTTCCTCCTCCCAGTCAAGGCCGGGGCTTTTAGGAAGTCCCCCAAGGGCTCCTCTCCTTGCAGAGTCTCTCAGGTGATCCCCTTGCGCCTCCCTTGCTACTGACCTTGCCATCTAAACAATGCTTTCCCCCTAATCTGATGTAATAAATAATCACGGTCCTTTTGTATTGGTCCTTATGTACAGGGTGGGTGTCCTGTATGAGTCCTGAGTATGCTGGTGCAGAAACCGGCCCTCAGAACTCCTTGGTGAACTGAGTTGAGCTGAGTGGGAGGGGATGGGGTGGTGAGGAAGGGTGGACTGACATGTAAGGGAAACACATTCCCAAAACCTTATGCTCTGTTGTCAGGTCAAACAAATAAAAGCTCCTGCACCACGACCAGAGACACTGTGTGTCAATGTGAAAAAGGAAGCTTCCAGGATGAAAACTCCCCTGAGATGTGCCGGAAGTGCAGCACAGGGTGAGACAGCAGCCAGGGGCTCCCGACAGCTTTCAAGAACCTGAAAAGACCTGAGTCACCGGGTACCTCTGTCTCACCCCTGACCCCATGAGGCATCCCTGAGCCTATGGGATTTCCTGAGCCTGCGGTGGCCCCTCCTGGTCCACCTGCCTGTCCCCACTCCTACCCCCTGCAGCAGTCCCTTCCCATACCCTCCCTAACACGAGTCCCTTTGGCCAGGCTGAATTGTTCACTGGGCACAGGAGGTGACTTTCTAGGTCCCTTGAAACTTTTCAGGGGACCTGGGAAATGTGATTTCCTTTTGAAATCAGAACACACTTGAATCCAGCCTGGCTTGTATTTGTCCTTATTCCAAATTGGTTTAAAAAAAATGTAATTTTAAATATTTTTTATGCAGGTGGAGACCCATAAAGGAAAAAGTGCCTGTAGCTCACAAAAATCATAATGAGGCTGTGGGTGGAGCTCCCTTAAGTTCCCATGAGGACCTGAGCCCACCCCGCCGGCCTCACTCCTGGCCCCTGACTTCTCAATAAGTCCTTCTTTTTCCTATTTGGGTTTTAGGGGCAAAGAGTAACTTGCTCTTCTCTGGCCCTCCACTGTTTGCTGTGATTGGGAGGAACTAGCAGCAGACAGGGTGGGGCGAGGGCTCACTCGTACTGTGGGTTAACTGGAGGAAGGGGCTCAGCTTGTGGCCACAGGGGCTTGTGATCTTCCCCTAGAGTGTGGCTCCTCCTAACGCAGCCTCCCCTGCATCCCAGGGAAGCTCCGTGTGTGCCCAGCACAGAAGGCTCCTGGAGCTGCAGCTCTGACCCCAGAGCAGGGAGGCCGAGGGGCTGAAGTGCGCATGCTCAGACTCTTCCCCAGCCTCAAGAAGGGAGCATAGGGGGACCCTCCGCAGACACAAGGAGTCTGTCCTTCCCCTGACATCTTCTCAAGGACATTAGGCAGGGAGGGTGGCTCCTCTTTCATCTCACCTGGCCAGCTTTCCATCAGGAGTCCCCGTCTCCATCCCTGTGTGTACCCAGGTGTCCCAGAGGGATGATCAAGGTCAGTGATTGTACGCCCTGGAGTGACATCAACTGCAGTGCATCAGCTGCCAGTTCCACTGGGAAAACCCCCGCGGCGGAAGACACAGTGCCCACCAGCCTGGGGACTCCTGACCTTTACGGTCTCATAGCCGGCGTCGTTACAGTCTTCATCATTCTGTTCGTGGCTGCGTTTGTTTGCATTTTACGTCGGAAGAAACTCATTTCTTCACTGAAAGGCATCTGCTCAGGTAGGTGCTGGATGAGGGTGGGGGCGCTGGACACTGTCTGCCCTGCCCCCTCCCACTCCGTTCCCACAGACAGTAATCCCCATCCCTGCCCCTGGTCCAAGTGTCTCCAGCCTGGCTCGATCTTCCGCCTTGTGATCGCCCCATCCCCACATCCCGTGTATCCCCCAGGACCCTGGTCTCATTGCCTCTCTCGGGGCTGGGGGTCCCCTCATCTCCCAGCCAAGTGTAGGAGGGCAGGGCCAGTTCCTCCCACTTTCAGGCCCAGCCAGGCAGGGGGCAGTCGGCTCCTCAACTGGGTGACAAGGGTCAGGATGAGAAGTGGTTCTGGGATTTATTCAGCCTTGGTCAGAGCAGAACATAGAGATTTTCCACGTGTTGGTTTTTACTCTAGTTCCCCTTCTCATCCCCCTTCCTCAGGGTGTCCCCGAATTGCAAGGCCCTATTCCTGTTCCCAGCCCCAGGGCTCCTTGTCCAGTGTCCCTGCCCCCAGCCTACCCCTGTGCCCCGCTGTCCTCTGGGAGGGGGGTGCTGTGTGGGCCCCTCCCTGCCTGCTAAGGAGACTCTTTCTCTTCCAGGTGGTGGAGGGGACCCCGAACGTGTGCACAGAGTAAGTTGGTTTCTCCAGAAACTTGGGGGCTTCATGGGTTCAGGAACTGCTTCCCGTCCACTGGCGAGCCCGGGTGGACACAATTCCTTGTCCTCGTAGCTGCCCTGACTCTCTGACGTGGCCTGGGGTATCTGGGCTGACTGTGGGGGACACATGGCCATTTTGAGCAGCACACAGACTGGCGGGCCGTGCTGCAGCCCTGTCCTTCCTGCAGCCTGGGTGACACCATCACTCCACAGCTGGCCCCGTGGGGATGGGGTGCCCACCTGACCCACCTCCGCAGTGGGTCCTGGATGTGCTGAGCCTCAGCTGCCTGGGGTGACCTCATTGGAAGGGATTGGGGATGGCAGGTCCAGCTGCCAACTGGGGACCTTGAATCTGAGCCCTGGGTGTGGACTGGAGTGGGCTGTTTGCCTTCCCAAGGTCTATTTCCGGCGTTCACGTCCTTCACGAGTTCCTGGGACGGAGGACAATGCCCGCAACGAGAGCCTGAGTACCAGATTCTTGCAGCCCACCCAGGTCTCTGAGCAGGAAATCAAAGGTCAGGAGCCAACAGAGCCAACAGGTGTGACTGTACAGTCGCCAGAGGAGCCACAGCGTCTGCTGGTGAGTTGAGGAGGGACTGTGCCATGCCTGGCCTGCTGCCTGCACAGGACTTTGAGGACAGTGGGAGATGGCAGTGCCTCCGCTCTCCTGGCCCAAGGGGACATGAAGCCTTTGGGAGACAGGGGACTGCAGGGGACGGAGCAGCTGCACTGAGGTGGTGACTGTGCCAGTCTGCAGGACATCTGCTTCTTATTCCTTGTCCCCAGAGTCTGGATCTCCACAGGCATACAGTGGGTGTCACAGGGTTCGTTGATGACTGACTAAGGCTGCACAGTCTCCATCGTGTGCTCCTAACAGAACTCAGGGAGCCCCTGCTTGAAACTGCAGAAGTTTTAAATATACTTCAAAATTCTCACTACACTGCACATACTTCATAGTAAATCTTTGTCCAGATTTCTGATCAAGTATGTAAGGAAGCTTCTGGGAGGAAGTAGGATTTCTCAGTCAGTGCGTAGAAGTGCTTTTGTATTACACAAACACATACATCCAGTTATTCACTTGGATTCACCAGTTTTGATATGACATTGAGTAGGTGTGAAATCTGGACACACATTTTCTTTTTGCTTCGAAAGTTCTTTCCTTCAAGATAAGATGATCCTATCTAATTTCTTATGGACTTTTAAAGAATGATTTGGTTTGTAGCATTCACCAGTGGAATGTAGGTGCCATTTCTTTTGCAATGCTGCGTGAAGGGAGGAACTCTGAATTATTCTGAGTCATTGTCTCCTTCCTCTTCACCTGTTTAAGAAATGATTCTCCTATTGTTTACTGCTTTTGGCTCCTCTTTGACCACTTGTCAAATACTTATCTGGACAAGGATCACTTTCCACCCGTTTTCTTCCTTTCCTATAACTACACCGCATGTTTTTTAAATGAAGTATAAAAAGGGAAGAAAACAAACAAAAAATGTCAACAATTACTCCATGCTGCTGAACCGCATTGCACCTTTATTTTGTAATTTGTAGAGATGTGATCTTGCTATGTTGCCCAGGCTGGTCTCAAACTCCTGGCCTCAAGTCATCCTCTCACCTTGGCCTCCCAAAGTGGTGGGATTACAGGCATAAGCCACTGCACCTGACCGCGTTGCACATTTTTTGAAAGTGGTAAATGCAGAGCCACACGTCTGCCA